ATTGTTCCATCACCACAAAGAAACTCCTTTGTGTTACCCCTTAATAGTCATACCCTTTTCCCACCCCTAATCCTGTCAACCACTAATCTGTTTCCACAATTATAATTTCATAATTTTGAGAATATAGTGGAATCACATTATGTAACTCTTTGAGGTTAGATTTTTCTTTTCTAAATTTATTTTTAAAATTTAATTTTTAATTTTTTTTAGAGACAGGATCTCACTATGTTGCCCAGGCTGGCTTCCAACTCTTGAGCTCAACAGATCGTCCTGCCTCAGTCTTCCAGGTTTGAGCCACCATGCCTGGCTGAGATTGGCTTTTTCCACTAAGCATAACGCCCTTAAGATGCATCTAAGTTTTTGTGTGTATCAATAGTTCCTTTTTATTGCTTAGTATTCCACTGTATGAATGTACCACAGTTTGCTTAACCATCCGCTAGTTGATGGACATTTGGGTTGTTTTCTGTTTTTGGTTATCACAAATAAAGCTGCTGTGGGCACTTGTGAAGGTTTTGTGTAAACATAAGTTTTCATTTCTCTAGGATAAATGTTGAGGAGTAAGCTTGTTGGGTCATACAGTAAGTGAATGTTTAACTTAACTTTATAAGAAAGTGCCAAATTGTTTTCCAGAGCAACCAGTATTAAGATCTTAAAACTTACATAAGTAAAACATGCTCATTGTAAAATAAACATTAAAATAAGGTAGAAATGTATACAGTGAAAAGCAAAATTATAAGCCATGGAACTCTGTACTACCTCTTTCCTGAGAGGTAACTATTACTAGGTTTCCTATATCTTCTTCAAGCTGGGCAAGGTAGTGCTCACCTGTAATTTCAGACACTTGGGAGGCTGAGGCAGGAGGATCCCTTGAGCCCAGGAGTTCGACACCAGCTGGGCTTAGGGAGTTCCCCCCCTCATGCCCACCCCCACCTCAAAACAAAAATTTTATTAATTTTTTAAATTAAAATTTTTTATTATATATATTTTTAATTCTTATGGGTACATAATAGTTGTATATCTTCATAGGGTACATGTGGTGTTTTGATACAGGCATACAATGTGGATTAATCAAATCAGGGTAATTGGGATATCCATCACCTCAGGCATTTATTATTTCTTTGTTAGGAACATTCTAATTCTATACTTTCGGTTATTTTAATGTATACCTTAACTTATTGTTGATTATACTCACATTGTGCTATCAAATACTTTTCATTCTATCTAACTATATTTTTGCACCCATTAACAATCCCCACTTTAACTCCTGCTTCCCCCTACCCTTCCCAGCCTCTGGTAACCATCATTTTACTCTCTGTGTCTATGAGATCAATTGTCAAAACAAAAAAATTTTAAAAAGGATATCTCATGCATATGCTAATACATGTATATATAAATATATTCACAAGTGGGATCACACTATACAAGCTATTTGCAACTTGGTTTTTTTTCACTTACATCTTGGACATATTTGCAAATCACTAGATTAAATATATACTTGTTTTAATGGTGGGCATAGGACTCCATTGTATGGATGTTATCATAATTTCTTTAACGAATCCCCTGATAATGATCATTTCTATTGTTGTCAGTTTCTATTATAAAGCTGTTATGAAAATCTTTCTATATATATCTCTGTATAACTTATATATCTGTATGATAGACTCCTAGAAAAGGAATTGCTAGGTCAATTTTACATTTTACTATTCTGAGATACTTTCAAATTTTTCTCATTTTTTTTTAGCAATTTATACTCCCCCAATGGTATATGAGAGTTCTTAGTTCTTTACCAACACTGAGTATTATCAAAAATTTAAATTTATACCAATCTGGTAGGAGAAGAAGTGGTATTTACTTTGCATTTCTTAGTGGTGAATGAAGTTGAGCACTGTTTTAGGTGTTTATTAGTCATCTGTATCTCTTCTCCAATAAGTTGACTGTTTATATATAGCCTTTGTTCATTTTCCTATTGGAGTTTTAATTTTTATCTTATTGATTCGTGAAAGTTCTTGATATATTTAGATTAGCCTTTTTCATTCATGTAGCAAATATTTTCTCACAGTTTACAGTGTATCTCTTGACCTCGTTCACGGTATTTTGCGATAATTTTTAATTTCTGTAGACTCGAATTTATGTATCTTTAGGTTTCCGGGTTTTAGGTTATGTTTGGAATGACAGAAAATACAGAATATATATGTATGCTGTACAGAGTAGGAGACTATTTAGAAAATCTAATTTATAATCAGAAATTTGCTCCATTTGCATGGAGTCAGAGCAAAGAGAATTCTGGGATGTTTTATTCAGACTATGGTAAACCTGAAGGATTATCTCTGGTACACTGTGGGGTATGAATTTCTAGTGACCGGAATATTTTTGCATGAAATAGTGTCTTGCCCTTTACACAGTATCAAATGTTTTGTAAGTTCTAACTATTTATCTCTCCTTTTCCAATATTTCTTATCAGGCACGCAAAGCTTTTGTCCTTACAATATTATCTCCTGAAGGACATGTTACAAATAATTAAGATTAAGCTTATTTTACATCAGTTACATATTTCATTTGCTGGCATTTTCTCACTTTGTCTTCAAATTCGAAGGGTGAACTCTTTAGGTCTTTTGGTACCTTATGAAATAACCTCCACTTCTTAGGATAGGACTGGGGCACATAGCACTGTGATCTGTATATATTGAAGGCTTGATAGTTTTTGAATGAGCTCTAGCAAAAAAAAAAAGGGGTGGGATACTGTCAAATGTTCTCAAATGTCAGTGTAAATTTGCCACAAAATTTATTTCTGATGTTATACCAGCTACAGTCATTATTCTTCTTCGGTGGTATTTTTCACAAAATAAGAGCAAGTTTACCAGAGAAACTTTTCAGTTTTGTTCAAAGCATAAAATTGCTTAAAGTCTCAGTTGCTATATAGACAATCAACCGAGAACATAAATTTATAAAATAGTTGAAAAACTATTTGTGCCATGTACTATAAATGTGATGTTTGGAGCAGAAAATCAGTAGTTTTCAGCTAATACTAAAACTGGAAGTCATTTAATATCAATTGATATTAAATTGGCACAATTGAATTAAATTAATGTAAAATGATTTGGTACACAGCCCAATTTTTGTATTACTTGAAGTGGAATTTTGTATTAACTTATATAATTCTGTAAATTTTCCCCATTTAATGTTCTAGCTGCATCATTCTGTAACTGGAATCTACTAAAAACTGTATAGCATTCTACCAAAGATGGTCTATAAAAGAAATGGAAATTTATTTGGAATAGTATTCCACTCCCCAAAGCTTTAGAGGTAAGTAAAAATGTCCCAGACTTTATTTCTTATTATTGATATTTAGATGTTTCTGTTTAACTTTTATTGTTCAGTTGATTAAATATATCATAACTTTTTTTTTTAAGTTGCAGAAAAAAACTAAACAGAGGATGCAGGAGACACAGATGTGGAAGGAATATAATTTAAGGACTGAAAATAATCATTATATTGCACCAGGAATGCTTTAGAGGTGACATGGGTGAAAGCTTTACGATTGACACGGGGCTTACAATATTTTTCATTTGGAAAATTTGGTTTGTTATTAGGTATGTATTAATAACGTATATTTTAATCAAAATTTAACAAAAGAAACAAATGAAGAGCTCTTAAGCAAACACTATTGTATGAACTTAGGAACTTCTATAACAGTAATGGAGACACTGTAATAGGTCACTTCTTCCTGCCCTAGGAAAGTGGCGCTTCAGAGGGGCCCTCCCCGTTTTTCTCCCCCGAGTAGACAACTCTCAGCGGCCAAAGATCCAGTACACTGGATTAGAAACAACCCAAAAAACAGGGGTGATAGAGACTTGGAGTTAACTGGGGTCGAAGGAGCGGAAGGGGTCCTTTCGCACTTCAAACATTGGGGGAGGGTTGGGAAGGCAGGATAAGAAGGAAGCTAAATTCCAACGATGTTGCGAGGCCGCCCCCGCCCACGTTTTCAGGAAAGCAGTGGATGCGCGGGGGCGGTGGGGAAGACCCGGTAGGTCCCCCTCGACGCCTTCTGCCCAAATTTCGATTTCCCTCCACTTAGCTCCGTCCTATCTCCTCCCCCGCCCCCAGAGTGGCGAACAAATTGGTCGCGCGCCCGGCCTAGCCTAGTAGCTCAGTTCCTTAAGAGTCCTAAACCTTGGAGGCAGAGACCACGTTTTCTCATAGACACGAATAGTGGCTTGCCAAGAAAAAAATTGTTTTTCTTTTCCAGGGCTCGCTTTCTCCCCATACCCGAAGCAAAAGAAAAACAAAAAACAAAACCAAAAAAAACCCCAAAACACCAAACAACAAAAAAACCAAGCCCCGTTAAACCACTTAGGATCAGGTGCCAGAGTTAGGTGGAGTTGGTTCTTTTGGTGGTTAGGGTAGGGACGAGGGTGCAGCGACGGACTGGGAACTAGGGCCGCAAACCCCTCGCCGGGGCGCGTCAAAAAAGGGGACTTAGAAGGGTGATGCCCGACTGGGCTGCCACCTTGGAGCTGCACGAGGGGCAGAGGGGCCCGGGGAATGAGTCCCCGAGCGAGCCTAGCCTCTGAATTCCCACGGCCCGGGGCTCCGCCTGACATTCCTATCGCCCTCCCCTGAATCCCCCAATAAAGACAGAGGAACCGCAGCTCGATCGAGTCCACGGCGGAAGCGCGGCCAAACGAATGAGTAAGTCAGGCGCGGGCACGGCACCTTGTTTACCCCACTCGGCGGCGCGCCCCTGCGGGCGCCTCGTTTGCGGGCGGCGTCGGAGACGCTGAACCCGGGAGTCAGTCGGCCACGATTGGTCGGTGATTGGGAGGAGAACGCTGGGTGGGAGGGCTGGGAGCCAGGCGTGGCAGTGCCAGCTCTCTGCCGCTAGATGTCGCTCCCTCCCAACGGGAGCCACGCGCGGGTTCGTGGCCGACAGATGGCGCCTGCGCGTTCCATTCGCCTCCAAGTCGCCGAAGAGCGAACACCCCAAACAATCCCGAAGCGCCAAAAAAAAAAAAAAAAAAAAAAAAAAAACCCGCCGGATCCGACCGCCACTTTCAAAACCCCCCACCGCTCTAGAACCGCGGGAGCTTCCGTCCCTGAGTAGAATTCGAGGGTGTAAAGAAGAGGAAGGGGAAAAAATCTTGTACCAGCCCAGGGGTGAAGAAGCCCCCGGCCTGAGAAAGAAGGAAGGAGGAGTGGGGGAGGCGAACAGTCTCGTTGCTGCCTCTGTGTACGCTGAGGGGGGAGGTAAGTTATAAAATGGCGGAGGCGAAGCTTCTAGAAGTTTGGAGGGGCACCCGGAGGGCGCGGAGCCCACCGTGAGGTGTGTATGGTTGAAACAGGGCGAGAGAGAGGAGTTGGGAGGGAGAGAGGTTGGGCACTCTGTTGCCATTTAATTCCCCCTCTGCTTCCTTTGCCCCCGTGGGGGGCAGCCATGGAGCGGGTGACTAAGTCCAGGCGGAGAGAACCTTCCTCGCCCCCGCGTCACCCCCAGCCCTCCTTTCTCCCTTCTCCCCCCAAGTCGCTACCCCAACACTTCCAAGGAACTTCCAGCCCCCCTTCCTCCCTACCTCCTACTCCTAGAGTGGCTTTCTACCGCAGGACTCTTCTTTTCGACTACCCTCGCTGAAGATTTTCTCTTCCTTCCCTCGCCCAACTCTCCCTCGGGGCCTCTACGGAGACCCCCCCCATGGGTGGCCCAAAATGGAGAACGCGGAGCAGCGCAAGATGGAGGCTCCGCTTCTCTGTGTAGCATTAGATTTAGGTTCCTTTTCTCCAGCAGGCTCTTAAGCCTAGGAGAGCCAAAACTGGAGGTGGGGTGGGGTGCGAGCCGTAGTCGGGGGAGGAAAGCCGGGGAGGCCGTGGCTGGGGTGGGGGAGAGCGCGGTATCGTGGTGAGGGGAAGGCAGAGAGCAAAATGGTGGTGCTGGGAACCTAGGGGGGAGGGGAGAAAGAGGAGGCTCAGTTGTGTATATTTGGGCCTCGGACCGAGGGAGGCGAGGGAAAATCTACTCCGATCACACCCCTCCCTCGTGCCCCCTCCCTTCTCCCTTCCCCTCCTTCCTTTCCTCCCTCCCTCCCCTCCCTCCCTCTCTTCCTCCCTTCCTAGAGAGGGAACAACATTCATGTGACGGGCCCCTCTGCTTCTCCCCCGCCCCATCATCTCCAGCGCGTGGTGGGGGAACTGCTTGGGAAAGCGATTGGCATCGATCTCTCCATCCCTTCCGAGGCCCGACTTCGGTCAGTTTTCTTAGGGCAACAATTTTATAAATAGGCTGGGGTCTGGCGGTGTTGGCCCCCGCGCGCAGACCTTGCCCCGAAGGGGGCCCTGCCTGCCTGGCATGGGCGGAGGGGGGAAGGGCGGGAGTGGAAGGCTGTTTGTTGGGGGGTTTTGGCGCCACTTTTGTTTTAGTTTTAGTGCTGCTTTTCATTCCCACCCCCACCCGCACTGTCTTCCTAAAGGCACGAACTGAGCTGATCCTTGCCCCAGGTAGGCAGCCTCTGCTTTTTCCCTCCACACTTTTATTCTTGCTTGGGGTCGACTTTCTTTTTTCTTCTACCACGTATCCGGAGATCTGTGGACGGCGATTTCGGGACGGAAAGGGTCGGATGGGCCATGGGAGTGAGAAGGTGTGGGAAACAGCATCAAGTAGTTCCGCAAAACTTTGAGCCCCGTTCCCATTTTCTTCTGGCCTAGAATCGTAGACGTATTGTTGATTTCGGCCTTTTTTTCCCCCCGTAGGGAGAATGTCCTGTTTTGCCTTTAGTTTTTTATAAACCGCTGTACTTTCGACATTTAGTTTCCGCTCCCCCTTGGTGTATATGTCATTTTATTTTTAATCCTTAACTGTAATAGGTTGTCGTGTGATTTTTTTTTTTTTTTGGTGCTTCAGTGTTCGGCTTTAATTTTTAATATTGTATTAGTAGTTTCATCCGGTTTGTGAGACTTTCTCCTCTGTGGCCTAGAATGTTTTTTATGTTGTTTTCCTACCACCCCCTTCCCTCTCCCTGCTTTCTCGGATGTAGTTTTTAAATTGAGGGTCATGGTGTTTGATTAAATGGTTATTTACAGTTTACACGATATATCTATTAGAAACTTTTGATCCGTAGGGTTAGGTTTAAGTAAACGAGAAGCTTGTGTTGGTTTGCAATGGTTCCTTAAAATGCGCGGGCCGCCCCCCCCGCCCCAGCCTCATCTTCCCTTCACACTGGAGTGTAAATTCCATACCCCTTTTCTCCCACGGACCGCCGTATTTCACAGCAGCCACACCCTGTATTTGTCTCTGTGGATTGGACTCATTATCAGCTTAATTTAGTGACTCTTAAACCACCATGATGGGACTTGCTTAAGCACGAAGCTTCTTTTCCTGTTTAGTCCTAGTGGTTAGTGTCGAAAGAGGAATAATCGAGGCTTCTTGATGAAACCTGGTGCGGTCCAACCTCTGTCTTTTTTCTGTTGTCTTTTTTCCTACTCCGGGCTGTTGGCGGTGTCAGCACCGCTGCTGGGGGCGGGGGTGGAGGGGAGAAAGAGTCGGGTTACCGAAGTGCGTCATTCCTGGCTCTAGCAGGGCCTGCTCGGGAGCTGCTGGTGTTTGTTACTGTCCTCGCAGCACTTTCCTGCCAACCTTCTCTCTGTGCGTATTGGTTAGGAGCAAAAGCAGGAGGCGGTCTCCTAATTCTGTCTGTAGCCTAGCGCGTTGCGTTTAAGGGTATATGTGAACTTATTTTTTTAAAAAAAAACGGCCCCGGAAAGTGGATACATTTCTATATGTCTTATAGACATACAATTCAGGTAGTTTAGGCTTGGCTTTTATATACTTCTCAATGAACAGTGGGGTTAATTTTGAGCATTTTAAACCACTTACGTTAAAATGCCTGGTTTTCTTTCTACGTTGCTATCAATCATAGTTAGGTATCAGAAGGACCAGTTTAAGGTGTAAGTGTTCAGCGGTTTGTCAAGTGTTTGAATTGTAATTTTATGACACATCATGTTAAATAGGCTGTTTTTTTCGTTTTGAGCTAAGGTGCTGCGTGAATGCAAGCTAATTGCAAGCTAATTGTACATCTTCATCACACAGTCCTATTTATCCTTTTAAGTATAATTTTAAATATGTCCTTTGGGTTTCATAGATGGACTTCATTAAAATTCTTAAAAATGGTTCTTTGTGTTTAACTGAATTCTTAAAGAAATTTATCATCTACGAAGAAGTTGTGTAGGGTAGCTGTACAGTTACATTGTTGGATTTTTGACTTAACTTCCTACTCTTTGATACTTCTGTTATCTTTGGGTTTTTCTCAGAATACTTACCGAACATACTGTCTAACTCTTAATTCTCTTTGTGGATGATAATGGGGAGAGGGAGTGGGTAGGAGGTAGAGATGAAACAAAAGTGTCCTTGAGTTGATTATTGTAGCTGGATGACTACAGGAGAGCTCATTGTTACTATTATTCTACTCTTGTGTGTACTTAAAAATTTCCACAGAAAAATTGTTGAAGAAAAATTTCCAAATTGTATTGCAATCTCGATGTAATGATTTAAGTTTATATTTACCTATCAAAATTACTTGCATGGGAAATTTAGCCTTGTGTATTAGCCTTGTGTGTGAGTAATTACATAATGCCTGGCAAAACTTTCAAAAATATATTTAAATTGAACCAATATAGAATAAGTCACATAAATGCTTATGGATCGGTTCAACTTTAAATGTTTGTGACTTAGTCTGAATGTGCTTAACGTTTAGTTTCCTTTTAGATTCTTTGAAAATAGGAAAAATCCATTTGCAAATTTTGTAAATTCTCTTTGGTGTCTATTTCATCAAGTTGGAGTTACAGTGAGTCAGTATGAAAGGGATTTACTATTAATAGGAGGGGCTTTGGCAGTTGGAATAAGTGACAGTGGAAGGGATTGGGGTGCCATAAGGGACCATTCCTGGTAGGAAGATAGAGGTAGCTGAATTCAGTTTCAGTATTTAGTGTTTAATGACTGAGTAGAGAAGCAGATTGGAAAAGAAACGTACTTATTAGCTATTCCTTCCCAGTGTGGAATAACTATAGTATTCTAAGGTATCAGAGACTGGCAGGGAGGATGAAGTGGGTTTTTTAAACTGATATGAAAATGAATATTTACATTTAAAATGATTTAAATCACCTCCCTCTTTAATGATCTGGTGCTATAATGAGTTAAAAGATGATATGTAAAATATCTAATACTTTCTGTTATCATTCTGAGCATTACCCATAAGCAGTAAAAGTGCATTGCAGTTAAAACCCTTGGTTTCCTTAATTAGTGTATTCATGAAGTGCTCCTAAATTCTTTTAAGGTAAGTGCCTTATTTTTTGCAATTTTGTATTGTTCAGTGTTAGGTTTGTTTCTTTCCTCTGACATGTATTTTGGAATATATGTCACAGTTCTGAAGGGAATACAAAATAATGGATGTTTAATTTTTATATTTGGTTAAGTGTGTTCCCTAATCATTATTATAGCAAAAGTACACCCCAGTCTAGGAACAGACATTTTATAACTGTTAACATTAGTCTGTTTGTATATTTCATATTCGGTCTTCAAGCTTTAGAAGGATATTAAGGGAAGATACATTACATATTTCAAATTCTTATTCATATGCAAATATTCTTAAGTAGATGATGCGGATTGTGGTATCAGATTTATTTTACTGTGGTCAGGCAATAGCTAAACTACTAAACCAGTACCTTATGAGTTTGGTAACTTTGAAGTTTTGTTAGGATTTTTTAAAGCCCAAACACTTAAATTTAAATGAAATTAAATTCTACATTTCTTTTTCATTGTTTTCTTTTTTGACCTTATTTACTTTTGTGGTCACCTGAGGACCAGTGAATTAAAATGGATGGAGTGGGCTTTGTGGGGGCAGGCTCACGCTCAACTCTGTTCTTTTGGGAATATAGGGTTAGATGTGAAAATATGCCATGGACAGTTTAGTAATGTTTAATATTCTGCATATTTAACTGATACCACCCACAGTCATGTGTGGGAAGGTAGTAAACAGTGAATAACATATTCTTTTTGCTTTGAGTTCTTTATAATAGAAGACTTAGTTTTTGATGCTGCAAGTTAACTTTTGAACTTAACATTAAATTAAATTAAAATTTACAGTTTACTATATAGTAGCGCACTGTTTTGGGAGTTGGGAAGAATAGCAAAGAAAAGGAACAGTCCTAGTTAGCTGTGGGCATCAATATATACTGAAATGTGATTAATTGTTGAAAAATAA